CGTGAAACGTCTCCAAGAAAACAACCAGGCTCAGAGAGCACCAAGGACCCCACAGTTCTCCTCTTCATCCCTGCACATCCCAAACCACCTAACACTGATGATGTTACCTAGCTGGGTCGTGAAACGTCTCCAAGAAAACAACCAGGCTCAGAGAGCACCAAGGACCCCACAGTTCTCTTCCTCCCTGAACATCCCAAACCACCTAACACTGATGATGTTACCTAGCTGGGTCGTGAAATGTCTGCAAGAAAACAACCAGGCTCAGAGAGCACCAAGGACCCCACAGTTCTCTTCCTCCCTGAACATCCCAAACCACCTAACACTGATGATGTTACCTAGCTGGGTCGTGAAAAGTCTCCAAGAAAACAACCAGGCTCAGAGAGCACCAAGGACCCCTCGTGTTGACCCTGAGCTATAAATATTCTCCTTTATTAGCTCCCTCTAAGTCCTAATGGAGGGTCCATAAGAACAGCAGATTCCCCCCTGGCTATTTCCCAACCTCTAAATCTGCCTCTGTACAGGTAGTCCTGGACTTACAACAATAGTTTAATTAGTGACCGAAGCGACAAGGCACGGAGAGAAGTTACTTTTGACCACTTTTCACACTTATTTCCAGGTTGAATCCCTCCTTTGTTCCCATCCATTGTTCCTTGTCTGGCCTTCGGGTGCTTTGCAAAATAGCTTCACCCCCCACTTCCTCTCTGTGACACATTTTCTTTCGGACCAGGACTTTCGAAGAAGACATGATCAAAACTCAAGATGCTTGGCCGCTGACTCAACGTTTATGACGGTTGCAGTGGCCCCGGGGATCGTGCAATCCCTTTTTTTTCGTGACCTTCTGACAAGCAAATGGGGAAGCCGGTCTCACTTAACAACCCAGTTACTAACTTAACTGCAGGGGTTCGCTTAACAACCGTGGTTTAAGAAAGGCCTGGCTTAGCAACAGAAACATGGGGCTCACTTGTGGTCGTAAGTCGAGGACAAACCTAGCAGGTAGAATGTCTCCAGAGAGGTTCAGATTCAACCAGTTATGACTTTGGGTCTCTTTTTTAAAAAAAAGAGTAACAGAGTTGGGAGGGACCTTGGAGGTCATCTAGTCCAACCCCCCCGCTCACGCAGGAGCCCTATGCTAAGGATTCGAACCGCCGAACTCCTGACTTTTCTGATCAACACGCTCAGCGTCTTAGCCACTGAGCCACCTCTCTGCGTGATCCCATCTCGTTTTTTTAAAACCATCAAACCTTGTGGCAGTGAGTCTCTCTGGAGAAATAACGTCTAAGAGGATGTGCTTTACCCCACGTGAGGGGCAAACGGCGTGTATATCAGCAAGGATCTCCAGGCGAAACGCAAAATATTTGCAAAAACCCAAAACCGCAGAGTTGAAATCTCAGCAGCCAGAAAGGGCGACTGAGGTCGGCTTCCACATTGGGCCCTTAAAACAGGAGTTCCCGAACAGGAACTCCTGCAGAGACACTCCAGACGCAGCTGCCTGAGAAAAGGAGAGACACAGTTAGGATGTTGCAATTTAGGGCTTCATTGAAGGTATAGATTAACAGAGTTGGAAGGGACCTTGGAGGTCATCTAGTCCAACCCCCCACCCAAGCAGGAGACCCTACACAATTCCTGACAGGTGGCAGTCCAGTCTCTTCTTGAAGGCCTCCAAGGATGAAGCTCCCACTACTTCTGAAGGCAGCTTCTGTTCCATGGCTCTCACTGTCAGGAAATTCCTCCTTATATCCAGGTTGAAGCTCTCCTTGGTTAGTTTCCATCCATTGTTCCTTTTCTGGCCTTTGGAAAACAGCTTGACCCCCTCTTCTCTGTGACACATTTTCTCTAGGACCATGACTTTCGAAGAAGACAACCGAGGATGGGGAGGGACCTGAGAGCAGTATTACATTATTTGAGGGGTTGCCATAAAGAAGAGGGGGTCAAATTATTCTCCAAAGCCCCTGAGGACAGGACAAGAAACAAGGGATGGAAATTAACCAAGGAGTGAAGCAACCTGGAATGAAGGAGAAACTGCCTAACAGCGAGGACAATTAACCCCGTTGCCTTCAGAAGTTGTGGGGGTTTCATCACTGGAGGTTTTTAAGAAGAAATTGGACAAACGTTTCTCCGAAATTGTATAAGGTCTCCGGTCTGAGCGGGGGGTTGGACTAGAAGACCTCCAAGGTCCCTTCCAGCTCTGTTATTCTGCTAACCGAGGCTCCTTTTCTGCCACTTTGTGAAAAGAAAAGAACTCCACAAATTCTCCTTTTTTAAAAAAAAAAAACACCTCCTTTCTTTCAAAATTAAAAAAAAAAAAGCTGTAAAAAAGGGACGAAAGCCGATATCCGAGGAGGAGGAAGCAGCTGAGGTTTTGCATTCGGGGGCCTCAGGAAGCCAGATCTGCCCCCTGCCGTCCAGCCGCATTCCACGGAACCAGCCCAGATGTTCTCCGCGGCCCCTGCCAGAGTTCACACATGCCAGCCTTGCCCCCCCCCCCTTTGTGCAATTTAGTAATCACGGGGCAGAAACTGGCACGGCTGCTTGCGGAAGAGTGCCCCGGGGCGCAGGGAGCAGGATGCAATCCGGGTGGCAGGAGGGGGGGGCGCTCACCCCTTTCTCAAGCACCCAGGTGTAGGTTCAGATGGAAGCCCGAGATGTTTCCTCCCACGTGGGTCTCTTGGGCCCTGCCTCAACATGTCTCCGACCCTGGCACACAACCAGGAGCCGAGAAGCCGAGCCGCAGAGCCTGTGGCACCCGCTGACTCTGAGATAGAAACGGGCTTTCCCATCTCCATGGTGCCCACCCAGCCGTCAGTCGATTCCTCCTGGCACCAGAGGTGGGTTCCTACCCATTCGGACCGGTTCAGCCGAGTAGGTAGTAACTCAGCCGGACAGGTGCCTGAACCAAGGAAGAGCCCAGCTAAGCATCACCAACGAGAGATTCAAGCTGGAAATAAAGGAGAAATTTTCTGACAGTGAGAACCATCAACCGATGGGACAGAAGTTGCCTTTAGAAGTTGTGGGAGCTTCATCCCTGGAGGCTTTCAAGAAGAGACTGGACCGCAATCTCTCAGGAATGATGTAGGGGAGTTGCAGGGATTAATACAGATTAACAGAGTTGGAAGGGACCTTATGGGTCATCTAGTCCAACCCCCTGCCCAAGCAGGAGGCCCTACACCATTTCTGATAAATGGCAGTCCAGTCTCTTCTTGAAAGCTTCCGGGATGAAGCTCCCGCAACTTCTGAAGGCAACTTCTGTTCCATGGGCTGATTGTTCTCATTGTCAGGAAATGTATCCTTATTTCCAGTTTGAATCTCTCCTTGTTCAATTTCCTTCCATTATTCTTTGTCTGGCCTTCAGGTGCTTTGGAGAATATCTTGATCTCCCCCCCCCCTCTCTGTGGCAGCCCCTCAAATATTGGAAGGCTGCTATCCTTTCTCCCCCGGGCCTTCTCTTCACTAGACTAGCCAGGCCCAGTTCCTGCAACCGTTCATCGTATGTTTTAGCCTCCAGTCCCCTCATCATCTTTCTTGCTCTATTCAAGATGCTTTTAAAACATTATCTTTTTCTCTCCACCTCCTAAAACTGACAGGAGGCAGAAGAGCTGAAAGACAGAGAAGGAGGAGGAGGAGGAGGCGGAGGAGGAGGAGAAATGAGGCCGACTTATAAGCAAGCCCATGCTTCCTCCTCTTGAGGGACGGACTGAGTTAAATTCTGCCTTAAGATGCTGCGGGAACTTTGTGGAAGCAGCAAATTCTAAACAGCTTCTCCCTGAGCAGGAAGGTTCATTCATGCTTCTGTTTTTGCTCTGAAAAACCTAATTTTTAACTCCTTTCCACCTCCACTGCTCCAGTCTACAGGAGTTTTGTGATATTTTGCCTCCGTTTCTGGATCTTGGGGACAATTTCATGGTTTTTCCTCCTGCTGCTCGTTTTTTTTTTTTACACTGACAAGGTTGGTCGTGGAGAGATAAAAAGTTACTCCCAGTTGACTGAAAGTCTGAACCTCTCTGCAAATTCGGCACGGAAAAGTTAAGTTTTTCTTGAGGTTCCGATGCTAATTGTCTCGCTTCTTCCACCCTTTCTGGTTTTGCTTTTCATCCTGGGATGCTCTCGCAAACGTAACTTTTAGAAGATTCTATTAGACACGGATTTAACCTGGATTTCAGCTGCTTCTCCTGCGGACTTGGTTGGATAAACCTCTTTTAATCTTTGGGTGCTTGCAAGAGAACATTTTTTTTCTTTCCACGGATCAAACCCCTGTTCCAGAGGGTGAGTCAATTTTTAAAATCCTTTCCCAAACAACCCATCCGCCTTCAGGTTTACAAACTGTTTGGTGGCATTTCACTGAGCCTAACTCAGGCACAATTCATGCTAAATCCGACTTATAAAAGGATATGTCGGGGGGGAAAGGGGTTGATTTTTTTTCTTCGCTGATAATCTAATCAGGTGTTTCTTTTTTCTTTTTCCCCTGAATCCTTAAGATGTTGGGGAAAAGGTTTGATTTTTTTCTTCGCTGATAATCTAATAAGGTGTTTCTTTTTTCTTTCCCCCCCCCCCCTTGAATCCTTAAGATGTCATTGATTTGATCTTGGTCTGTGTACAGTTTGGGGGTCTGGAGTAAATGCTTCAACCTGTTTTGTGGATGTAGCTGCCTGTTTCATGTCATGGCTTAACAGGTCCAGGAACACAGCTCATGTCACACCCGAGCATTATGCAGTTCATACACTCGCCGACCAGTTTCCAAACTTTTAAAAGGAAACAAATGTGAAATTCCACATCATTTGCCCAAAGAAAGATGCGGCCAGCTCTTCTTGCCTTTCAAAAAATTCATCACTTACCATTTATGTTTCGGAGGGAATTATACACAATCACGATCTGTTTTGTCTCTGGGGGGGAAAAAAACGGGTCGGAAGTTTGACGGGCAACCTCTTTGCTGTAAACATTTACACACCTTGTTTTTCTCCTTGGAAGGTGGGTGTGTTTATTTGGGATGTCAATCACGGGAACAAAGTTACCTTCGGAGATTCACCTAGAAAAAGTCAGGCCAAGAACAGGACACACCTGAATGGATCGAGACCCAAAGAAATAACGTAACTTTTTCCTTTCAGCTATTAAATGTACCAGCAATCCCAAAAGATTGTGTGGGGGGGGGGTCGCTAACAATTTCAAAATTATTTCCCCCTGTGCCAGGTAGCAAAAGGTCAAAGATGCTAGTCCATAAGAGAATAATAATTCTTCTTCACCCTCCCTTTTCAAGGGGTTGTTGTGTGAAAGGGGGGGCAGACCTGCGTCTCTTCACCACTTATCAAGACCAGATATTTTTAAAATTGCTCCCCCACACACTTCCCCCCCTCTTATCCTCCCCTGTGATGGATGGGTTGAAAGAGGAGAAATCTAACAAATAAATCAGTTGCAGATGAGAAACGTGCTGGCTTTGCAGCCATTAAAATATTTCCATCTGTCTTTCCTCAATCGTTTCTCTGCTCAACAACAAAAAGAGGGGAAAAATATCCGTGAAAAATCCCAGGCAGCGAATGTTTTAAGGAACATCTTCTAATCTTTTTTCTTTCTCTCTCTCTCTCTCTCTCTCTCCCTCCCTTACCGCTGACTCAGAATGAAAAAAAAGGAGGATCTGAAATGTATTAATTTGGGCCTGACTTTGAATACCGGAGGGAAAAAGCATTGTCTTTCAACAACCAGAAGACAAACTGTCTTCTTACTGTTAAAAAACAATAAAGTTAAAACATAGCGTGCGGTTACCCAAAGGGACATTAAAAAAAAAAGCACCCTATTATTACCTCTGTTTAAAACGACATTAACTTGGGCTGCTTTTGGGGTTAAAAACTCCGTATTGTTTTAAGGGGATTCTAAACAGTTTGACCACCAAATCTGCTTTATTAGAGATTTTACACCATTCATATAACTTCTCCCTGGAAATTTTGTGCAACAGCGAGAATTCGGATCAAATAAGGCTCAGTCCCAGAACAGCTTCAATTAGGGGTTCCCCCCACCCCTCTTAAATTTGAGAAAAACACCAGTTGGACCAACCACGCCAACGAAACTACCCATGAAGTCAGTTTGAAAAATAATAATGAATACGGGAAACCCCTATTTAAAATCATTCCGTGGTTTTAAATCAATCGAATGACACGTATCCCATTTTACTTTGTTCCTCCAGCATTGGGTGGTTGGATTGTTTATGGGAGGTAGACTGCCCCTGGATAGGAAGGCTCTACTTTGTTTTCCTCCTCCTGTGTCTGGCTTCGTAAAGGGGCAAATAAAAACCCCTTTAAATTAAAAGTAGTAAGACACTCGAAAGGGAAAGCAGGAATTATTTCAAGGAACAACAGAAGCTATTAAGCAGATTCTTAATACTTGGAGAGAGAGGGGGGGAAGGGGCTTCTAAAAAGTCTGTGTGTCGTCCCCCTCCCCATCACTACATCCTCATTCACAAGAAGTTCTCCCCCCCCCCTCTGATTTCTTTCATCACCCCGTTTTTTTTCCTGAAGTTGCAAACACTTTTTGCTTTCCCACTAAAACGGAATTCTGGTTTCTCTCTTTATGATTTGGGCTTTTCAATCCGAAAACGTGCCCTAGCTTGTCTCCTCCTGAGAAGTCAAACCGGATCAGGCCAAGTTAGGACTTGGAGATGAAACCGGGTGGGAATATCCGATGCTCCCTGCTCCACTCCCAGGATCCGGGGATAGGAAAACTGGAGGCGAAAGATGGTTACCTGAATTCCTTCCATCCATTGGTCTCCCCCAAAGGGAACTTATGGGGTGGCCTACTGGCTCAATCGCTTTCTCTTTTGAAGCTAACCTTGATTGCTACTCCCTTGTGATCCTGGTTTTCTGGAGAAAAGAGACCGCTTTCTCCAGAAGTAGCCATGATTGCAAGGGGGGGGGGTCACCCTCGCACGATGGCGTTTCTGAGGGGCTTAAACTTTTCTGGACGTGCAAACCCAAGTTAGAAGCGAGCAAAACACATTTTTCTAAGTTCGCCTCCCGATCTCTGAGCATCATTGTGGTTCTCACCACCAGCAGACCTAAAATCTAATCTCCCTGTGTGTCAGCAGTTAGAAATCATTTCAGGCACGCTCTTGCAGTAAAACTTTGCAATTCTGTGGACAGGTTAAAAGTGACATTTTATTCCCATGTGGTTCTGGACTCACCTGGCTCATAGTGGCTGCCCCTTTTAGGATGGAGGAAGGGTTATCTTTGCATTTTGGTGGCTTTTTAAAATACAGTTAGGATTTAATTCTGTTTTTTTTTTAATTGTCTTGGGGTGATGAGATGAGCCCTTTAAGACAGAGCATACATACCAGAAATAAATAAATACTAAAAAGAACATAAATTAATGCTGCCTCCTCGTCACCTACAACCGAAGGAATTGGATATGCGCTCTCTCTGCTTACTTCTTTTTACCTGCATACTTTTATTTATTTTTGCTTGTAATAATGCAGCTTTTAAGTTGTGTCCTGCAATGTCCCTATTACTAGGGGGTGGGGAATCATTAATTTGGGGATAAAAAGAATTTTACTATTTTCGAAGTTCATCTGTTGCAAAGATGGGAGATTTGTGTGTGGTTTTATCTGTCCGCTAAGCAGAGATGATCTTGCTTTTAAATTTATAAGTTGTTTATACATTTTCTTTATAAATCTTTAAATTTATTCTTCTTTGAATGTCTCTTTAGCTTGGTTTTCTTGAAATAAAGGCTGCACCGTTCTCTTTTCAACAGTTTAGCCAGATCCCACCTGCTGTCTTTTTCTAATAAAAGAGAAAAAAATTTCTCCTGTTCAAAAATTATAATTTTAGCACTCAGCTGGGCTATTTAACTGGAAATGTGTGTGTCTGTGCGCGTTTTTTAAAAAGCCAAGGATTGGGAAAGAGCAAAATATGATAGCCCGTTGGTTTTTTTTAAGTCCTGTTTCTTTCTGATGGCATCCGAGATCATCTTCCTTAGCCCAATGCCCAAACAAGATAATTCCACCTTCAAATTGCGAGACGGAAAGCAATTTGAACTCTCGATGCTAACAGCATTTTTGCAAAGGTGCAGGTATTTTTCTTCAGCCTTACGTAGAGAAAGAGAGACGGAGGGGTTCTCTAGATTCGTACACTTAAGAAGATGTGTGCAAAGTCATTAAAAAGTGATATGTCGGCGGGTGAATCATTCTTATTTCCCACCGAGTTACAAATGGCTGCACATTTTTGTCTCCTTCCCAAAGCAAAGCAAAATGCTTCTCGCCACGAAATTTTTCTGCGCTGCTTTTTGGCTTCGCTGCTGGCACCTTTCATCTTTGCCCTAATTTCGTTTCGCTTGGCAGGCGGCCCTCGCCCTCACCCTAAGGAGGAGGATCGACCTTGCTCAACTCCTAAAGCAGAGTTAACATCTTTCCCAAATGATCAGGAAGAAGCTAGGAAGGACTGAGCAATAAATTAAAAAGATGCAAATATGCTGAATGGGTTGGGGGGGGGGTGGACTCCAGGCTGATGTATTGATTCCATCGTAATTGCAGCATGCACACCTCACAGAATGTCATTATCCAAAGGAAGACTTTAGATATACATGTGCGAACTGGTATCTCTACCTGCTTATCATCTTCTGTGAGGCCTTCTGGATTTCCTGAAATCACACTGATTCCGTCAGCCAGTGCAGACGAATAGCTGTCCAACCTCTTCTTTAAAACTTCCAGTGTTGGGGCATTCACAACTTCTGGAGGCAAGTAGTTCCACTGATTAATTGTTCTAACTGTCAGGAAATTCCTCCTTAGTTCTAAGTTGCTTCTCTCCTTGATTAGTTTCCACCCATTGTTTCTCATCTTGCCTTTTGGTGCTTTGGAAAATAGCTTGACTCCCTCTTCTCTGTGGCAACCCCTGAGATATTGGAAGGCTGCTATCATGTCTCCCCTAGTCCTTCTTTTCATTCAATTAGACATACCCAGTTCCTGCAACCATTCTTCATATGTTTTAGCCTCCAGTCCCCCCTAATCGTCTTGGTTGCTCTTCTCTGCACTCTTTCTAGAGTGTCAACATCTTTTTTACATCGTGGCGACCAAAACTGGATGCCGTATTCCAAGTGTGGCCTTACCAGGTCCTTATAAAGTGGTATCAACACTTCACGTAATCTTGATTCTTTCCCTCTGTTGATGCAGCCTAGAACTGTGTTGGCTCTTTGGCAGCTGCTGCACACGGCTGGCTCATATTTAAATAATTGTCCACTAGGATTCCAAGATCCTTCTCATAGTTACTACTTTTGAGCAAGGTACCACCTATACTGTACCTGTGCATTTCGTTTTTCTTCCTTACATGCAGAACCTTACTTTTTTCACCATTTATCTAGTCCTCTTCCAGAGATGCTTCCTGCAAATCTCTATTCTAACTCCAAATCTTTGCCCATTTCCTTTTGATCCGCCATTCAAACCAGACTTCCCCCCCAGATCAGTCCAATAAGGATCAGCTCGATTTTACAGTTCCACCCCCAATCCAGAAGAGCCTTTCCTTTTATCAAAATGCATCAGCTTTCACAGGCAGCATTATAAATTGCCAACTCAGCTAGGTTATCTGAAATAATTTGGAATTCCTTCTCCGGATGAACATCAATTGCTGGGTTTAGTCTGTTTCTGGATCCCGTTTGGCTCCACATCCGGGAATGACAGGTTACTTATTGCTTGTTTTGGAGAATGTTTATCCTACTTTATTTTTGTTAACGCAAGTAAAGTTATCCTTGTTTTAACTTCGGTGGCTGTGATTCAGCGGCACATTCCTTGCTACCTTCGGCTACTCAACTCTAGTCTCCAAGAGGAGATATACTTAACAACAGCCATGTAGAGGAAAATATGAAAATATGTATACCATCTTATTGCCTTAAATCAGCCACCTCATTCTGTGGGTGATCATCCCAGCCAAATAACAAGGACTCAAACAATCATGCTTAAGGCTTTTTTTTTTTCAAACATTTTTGGAGTACTGTGATTAAGGGAAAATTGCTCATCATGGAAATAATGTCAAATAATAGCAGGGGTTGGTGAAACGTTTTGGAAATATTTTGTAATATGTAGATAACATCTTTGGCTTAGAAGCCCAATTTCTCTCTCATGGTTAGGGCAGTCCTGGATCGGTTACCAACTTCCCAGAGGGAAGAAATGTTTTTGAGATGAAACATTGAGAGCACAGTGGAAAAATGTTCACGGACCCAGAACAAGTTGCTAAAGGAAAGGGCGTGGCCAAGTTTTTTCCATGGACAAGTCACCACCAGGAAATCTCAACCATGTAGTTTGGGAAGCCAAACTTCACAGAATAATCTAACCCTAACCTATATTTTTGGGACACAGTGGCTCAGTGGCTAAGACACGCTGAGCTTGTTGATCAGAAAGGTTGGCAGTTCGGTGGTTCGAATCCCTAACGCCACGTAACGGAGGGAGCTCCCGTGACTTGTCCCAGCTTCTGCCAACCTAGCAGTTCGAAAGCACGTAAAAAATGCAAGTAGAAAAATAGGGACCACCTTTGGTGGGAAGGTAACAAACATTCCGTGCACCTTCGGCATTTAGTCATGCCGGCCACATGACCACGGAGATGTCTTCGGACAGCACTGGCTCTTCGGCTTTGAAACAGAAATGAGCACTGCCCCCTAGAGTCGGGAACAACTAGCACATATGTGGGAGGGGAACCTTTACTTTTAACTTATTTTGTTTACACTACTTCAGGAGGCGCATTTTACCTTTTTACCTTTTAACCTATATTTTTGGCAAGAAAACAATATGGATATTTCCAGGAAGACAACACAGAATATGTAGTTTTTACTTTTTTTTTCTTTATCTTTATTTTTTTTTAACTTTGCCAAAAAAAAAATATCCATGCTAGATTTATCAATTTGCCTTTCCTTACAGTGACCCCTGCTGTCCATATGCTAAATTGCAGTCTTTTTTTTAGCTATGTAAGGATTTTGAATTATAGCGTAAAATTCTGTTTCAAGCACACTTCTGCTCTTCTAAACCCTTTCTTAAAATGATTTGTTGTGGTTTCCTTATAAAATTCTACCTGCCTTCATGAAAATCTGCCTAACACCCTTCCATTTTTTTTAAATTAAGTAGTCTATTGCTTTATTTTTTTAAAAAATGCCATTTTCTGCGTATTGCCTCTATTGTATTTATTCTACTTCAGGAGGTGGATTTTTATTCCTAGATAAACTGCTTAAAAGAGGGTTTGATTTATGCAAATGTCTTCAGGTACAGAAATACAAACTCACTGTGGACTGCAATCTTCTTCTTTTTTTTTAACAATTCCAGTTCTTGACAAGAGAAGAATCTCTCTTTAGAAATATGGAAGGGTTTTGAAAAATAAATAGTCTTGAGGTTTGGTGGGGTTTTTTTTATACAGATAGTCCTCGACTTACAACAGTTACATTTAGTGACCATTCAAAGTTACAACAGACCCCCCCCCAAAACGGACATAGGAACATTCTTCACACTTACCGTGGTCACGTGATCAAAATCGGGCTGTTCAGCAACTGACTTGTATTGATCCTGGGGTCTCGCGATCCCCTTTTGCGACGCGGAAGCCAGATTCCTTCAACAGCCTTTATTACTATCTTCATAAACGCAGCGGTTCACTTAACACCTGCGGCAAGAAAGGTCGTTAAATGGGGCACAACTCACTTAGCAACTGTCTCGCTTAGCCACAAAAATGTTGGGCTCGATTGTGGGTCGTTAAGTCCTACAGGTGTATAGCCTGGAAATTTTGAGGCAGGAACTGGCAGAGAGCGAGACAGAGGATGGGGGGGGAGTTCTTTTCCAACCATTTAAAAAATGCATTTGGACCCCTGTCTAGATTTCCGCTGGTGGCAGCCACGATGCTAAGACTTCTGCTGAGCGCGTTCCTCCCCTGCCTGAGCTTATCTGCCCCGTCTCATATTAACAAACTCGCCCTGTTTCCGGATAAGAACGCCTGGTGCGAGGCCAAGAACATCACCCAAATTATCGGACACCACGGATGCAATTCTAAATCCATCCAAAACAGGTATGGTCCTAACTCAGCCTAATTATTCCGCTGTCTCTTTTAAGGTTGGGTGGTCAGACGTTGCTCTCTTTGCGTTGTTAGGGACCCACAATTGTGGGTTTTAGCAACAGCGAGACAACAATGAAGCGGGCACCGCACGACATGCATTTTCTGCGTCGCATGGAAAAAATACCGCTTCCTCCCTTCCTGTCCTCACCACTTTCTATAGAGCAGAGCTGTCAAGCATGTGGCCCATGGCAGGATGTGTCACGCACAGGCCATGCCCACACCTGGTTTAGCAAAAGGGGGGGAGTCCCATGATGCCGCTGTGATGACACACATTTGACACCCCTGCTATAGAGGGACGATTGAGAGCATACTGTCGTATTGTATTAGTCTGGTTTGGAAACATCCCTGCTTCAGACTGGAAGGCAGTGCAGAGAGTGGTGAGGACAGCAGAAAAGATCATTGGTAGTTCACTTCTTCCTATTTGGGAGGTTGCACATAAGCAATGCTTGAGCAGGGTCCCGCAGGATTGCCTGGGATGCTACAACATCCTCTCCACGACTTGTTTTCCTTGCTGCCTTCTGGGAGGGGGGGGCTTTCGTGGTACCCAAAGCAGAGCATCCACAATTGGTCACAGTTTTGTTCCATACATTATCGACCTTGTAAACTCTCTCAAGTTTCTTTTTTCCATTATGTATGTCTGTGTGTTTTATGTACACATATGTATGTATGTACATGTATATATTCATATGTGTGTGTGCATATGTGTGTGCATATGTGTGTGCATATGTGTGTCTGTTATATGTGTGTATACATATGTATGTATTTGTTTTCGTAGATTTTCACGGGTGTAGGTATGCTGTTCTTGTCGTATTCAGGTCTGTTCCCATGTAAGATTGAGATGTCTTGGCAATGTTTCGGCGAGGTCCCACTCACCATCTTCAGGCTGGTGTTTTCAGCTTCATGCTTGTGCGAGTAAGGCGTGGTCGGAGCTGTCGTCTTTCTATAAATCTTGGTGGGTGTGGAGTGCTGGCTTTGTTGCTGTAAATGGGTTGATTGGCTGTGTAGTTGCATCCTGATTGGTAGATGGAGTTGATGTTTGTAGATTGGTCGACTGTTTTGTATCATTCTGTGTGGCTGAGGTGCTGGCTGTGTGTCCGTTGTTCTTTTGTGTTGTAATGACCTGGGTGGTAGGTGGGGTTCGTTTGTTGACTAGGACTGGTTTCCAGATGTCTGGTAGGTGGGAGGTATCATCACGTTTATTCATGTTGTGGGAGTATTTCTCTATTTCGATGGCTTCCATAATTATTCTTTTGTGGAAGCCATTGAAATAAACAAATAATCTTTTAAATATTAGCAGGCCATTCAGATATAGGTTAAGGGAGTTGGAAGGGAGGGAAAGAGTAGGAGCTCTTCCTTCTGTGCCCTGCCAAAGCTTCCCCTCCAAATGCCCCCCCCCTTGTGGGCATCAGGCAGACCCAGGACACCGAGTCCCACCAAAATATATCCCTAATTCCTTCTTCCTCCTCCTCTCCCCAGAGCCTGCATGGGCCAGTGCTTCAGCTACAGCGTCCCCAACACTTTGCCGCAGTCGACGGAGTCCCTGGTGCACTGCGACTCCTGCATGCCCTCGAACATCAAGTGGGATGTTGTGAGTCTCTGCATTTTGCCCTGGGATAAGGGGTGCGGATTATTGGGGTGTGGCGGCTCAGTGGCTAAAGACCCTGAGCTTGTTGATCAGAAAGGCCGGCCATTCGGCGGTTCGAATCCCGGAGTGAGCTCCCATCACTTGTCCCAGCTTCTGCCAACCTAGCAGTTCAAAATCACGTAAAAAATGCAAGTAGAAAAATAGGAACCACCTTTGGTGGGAAGGCAACAGCATTCTGTGTGCCTTCGGGAGTTGAGACATGCCGGCCACATGACCACAGAGATGTCTTCGGACAGTGCTGGCTCTTCGGCTTTGGAACGGAGATGAGCACCTCCCCCTAGAGTCGGGAACCACTAGCACATATGTGCGAAAGGAACCTTTATCTAAGGATGCGGATTGCACAAAGGGCGCGTGGGCACCGTGCCCATTTGCAATACACAGTCCTCTTTATGGATGTACAGAGGGAGGGTGGCCGAATGTGTGCTAAGGGGGCGTAGCAAAATCCAAGCTAGGGTTGCCCAAGGAGAAGCAAAAAAACAATTAGAATTTTGCAGTGGAGAATCTGGTGCTTTTAAAGTCAGGTTTGGGGCACTTCCTAGGATTCCCAAAGTCCGGGATCCTTGAGGCTGCTGCACATCTCCTCATCCTGCCTCTTCTCTTTCCCAGGTCTCGCTGGACTGCCCCCAAAACGGATACATGTCCAAGGTGGAAAAACTGGTGGAAAAAATCTTGCACTGCAGCTGCCAGGCGTGTGCGATGGTCCATCCCTCCTCGAACATCGAAGAGCTTCCCCATCAAGAAGCCTCCAACCCTTCCGCCTTCAGGCACCTCTTCGAAGGCGAGGCCGCCAAGCCCCAGCCCCCCTCCCAAAATGACTGACCTTTCACCGGGAGCTCCCACCTCCTCCATTTTTCTCCCCGCTTCTCCCTCTCTCCCTCTCTTTTTCTTTCCTCTCTCAAACCTCCATCCTGTTCTGATGTGGAGAAAAAGGGAAAACGAGGCGCAGAATTCGGGGAGCCCTTTTGCCATCCGGGAGAGAACAGGAAGCTGGGCTTGGGGGCGGGGGAGGCGACAACATCTGGATTTGGGATCGGAAGGATGAAGGCTCACTGGAGAACCAGAACCCCTTTTCCTGCCAAGATGGAGTCACCGTTGTGAGCTTGCAAAGGGAGCAGTTTTTTAAATTCCCTGGTGGAGATTCTGTCGGTTCCAGATTTAGGGATGATGAAGTGGAAGGTTGCCGACAGGAAGAAAGGGCATCCTCCTTCCCTTTGCTCTGAGATCCTTGCTCAAAATCGGGCTGAAAGAAACATGGATTTTCTTGCTGTGTCCCTTGGGGTGCCCCCTAGGACCATGGGAAGGGACTTTCCCCCTATATGTATATAGATATAGATGTATACCAGACTGAGAAGAACCTTGTTCAGCAGTATTATGAGAACAGAGTGCACCCTTGTTTAAACTTTCTTCTCTGTGGTAGCTGGGCTGAGATGATGAAGAACGGCCGTGAATAAGAAACCACTGTAACCCCAGTTTAAATCCTAGGACAATCTTACTTCTGAAGCTTTCTTCATGGCCTCTGCTAGCATGGAACATCTTGAATGTATGTTTTGAAAGGCAATATCCAAGCCAGATTTGTGGTCCTCAGGGGTTGTGGTCCTCAGTTTTTATCACACCAGCCAGGAAGGCTCTGGGATGGGAGTTGTAGTCCAGAATTTATGGAGGACGCTATCCAAGTCATCTACCCATGCTTTTGGCCTTGATCTCATGGTGCCCAGATAATGTCTCCCCTTTTTCTCACTCGAGGAGGTTGTCACAACTCCCATCCGCCAGCATGCAGGACACGATCCGTACAGCGCACACAGAACCTACTCGAGAAAGTGTGTTCAGACAACTCTCCTCTCCACCTGCAGCGTGATCTCTTGAGAACGGCCCTCTCTCTGCCATGAACCCAGTCGCGTTTGTTGGAAAGAGGAGGAGAAAATGGGGGCGGGGGGTTCTTTCCTTTGCAGATGGGGTTTTGATCCTCCTTGAACTGATGCTGAAGCTGACACCGTTTGGAGTTGTAGCCCCCACATTTTCCCACATGATCACCAGCTCCAACACTGGAAGTGTTTAAGAGTGTTGGGTAACCATTTGTCTGAAGTTGTGATGGGTTTCCTGCCTAAGCAGGGGTTGGACTAGAAGACCTCCAAGGTCCCTTCCAACTCTGTTATTCTGTTCTATTCTTTAGGGGGAGAGGGCTGTGGGGTAAGGGTCACCCTTTTTTCTTTGAAGAAACTGTTGCAGTAGGTTGTTGCTTGGATCAACTAAAAACCAGCCATGTTTTAGAAGCCAATGGTTCCTATGTAAAGGTTCCGCTTGTACATATGTGCTAGTCGTTTCTGACTCTAGGGGGTGGTACTCATCTCCGTTTCCAAGCCGAAGAGCCAGCACTGTCAGAAGACGTCTCGGTGGTCATGTGGCTGGCATGACTCAACGTCGAAGGTGCCCGGAACGCTGTTACCTTCCCACCAAAGGTGGTCCCTATTTTTCCCCTTGCATTTTTTTACATGCTTTTGAACTGCTAGGCTGGCAGAAACTGGGACAAGGAACGGGAGCTCACTCCGTTACACAGCGCTAGGGATTCGAACCGCTGAACTGCCGACCTTTCTGATCGACAAGCTCAGGGTCTTAGCCACTGAGCCACCGCGTCCCTGTAGCAATGGTCCCTGTAGCAGGTTTATTAATGCCTGCCCGTCCTCTGTCTTTACTTTCTATCTCTTGTGGTTCCAGTTCGGACTTTACTTCCAAGTAGCACTTTAACAAGCCAACAAAGGCATGGAGAACATCTGGGACTTTTGGAAAACAAGGGGGAAGGAAGGAAAGGGAGGATTTCGTTTGGAACCAAATGAACCAAACCAGAATTGAAACATTAAATCCTTCTTCTGCAGCAGTCCTTCCAAAACAAATCTAGGATCTGTGTTATGTCTGAAAAGGTTGTCATATTTCTCTCACAGCGTTTCTGTCTTCGGTCTTGAAACCACGGAGCTCACACGGGGCCTTGCACAAACCGGCCCCATTTCCCGCTCTTGAACCAAGGGGAAGGCCTCCGAGGCGGTAAAATGCACATTCATTCATTAATGCACACCCATTCTGTATTTTTTTTTAAACCTATGTATCTATTTTCCACTGCCACCATCACCTTAAATAAATTAGAGTGTGAAGTTTTACAGTTTTCCTCAACTTTCTTGTTCGGGGGGCTTCCACCCGGGGTGATGCAAATCTTCCGCAATTCAAAAGCTTTTCAGTTTTACTACAGGGGGGCAAGAACAATGTGTGGGTCCCTTCGATTGCATCAGAACCAGAGTTAGTATTCAGCCAGTTCTGAAAGGTTCTGGAGAACCGGTAGTGGAAATTTTGGGTAGTTCGGAGAACCGGCTGACAGGCTGGCCACGCCCCTGCTGCCTCCCAACTGATCTTCTTTTGTTGCCCTGAACAGGAGAACGGAGCTGCAAACCAGGATAGTGGGGTGGGGAAGGAATGGGGATTTTGCAGTATCCTTCCCCTGCCATGCCCACAAAGCCACGCCACGCCCAGATAACCGACAGTAAAAAAAAAATTGAATCCCACCACTGACCAGGACTCTAAAATGTGGGTGCTGCAACAGGGAATTTCCACCTAAACACCGAAGTCTCCGTTTCCCCCCGAATTCACTACATTTCTCACAGTGAAAATGGCCAGTGCTGGGACGTTGTTCACACAGACCCACGTGGATTAAAATAGGCTGAATGCATTTTAAAATAAAAACCACAGTTTAAGAAAAACCCAACTCTTCCAGAATATGGAAAAGAGGAAAAATTGCAGTGTGAGACAGGTACGTTCCCCTCCCCTCCCCCCAGTCTATTAGCAGGTATGAAAATGATACAGGAGTCAAAAGGCCCACCTCATCTTTGCCCGGTCCAGTCAACTTGTTATGGCCTGCCAGCGGCCAGCAGATCTGGCAGCAGATTCGGACAGTGAGGAGGTTGGGGAGGAAGATGGGCCAGTCCTGGAGTCTGGGGAAGGCTCTGATGAGGGCTCTGTGTCGGAGGCAGAGAGGGAGCCAGAGCCGTATGCCAGTTATCGGCTACCTTCAGAATCAGACATCAGTGAGGCGGAAGAACAGCTGGAGCCTGTTCCCAGTGTGCGCATGCACAGAGTTGCCAGACGAAGGGAACAGCTAAGGAACAAGGGCCTATTCGGGAGTAAAGGCACAGGTGGACGATGAATGGCCCCTCCCAGAGGACATAAAAGAGGAGCGAAAGGGGAGTGGAGTTTGCAGGAGACCATTAGTTCGCTTAATTGATTCCTGACTCTCTGAGACTCCTGGCCTAGTTCTGCAGATATCGACCTGGCAGCTCTCCAAGCCAGATAAGGTCTGTGACTGTAAATCCTCCCTTGAAAGACTTTGCTGGATGTGAATGAGCAGAATTCACAGGAAATTAATAAGAGGAGTTTTTGTCGGGACAAGGAGTTTGCTTCATGCTTTTTGGAAGCTTAGGTCAGAACACAGCTGCAGAGGTACAGAAATCCATCCAAAACCGCTGAGATAATTGGTTCCTGGCTTCACGGGGGGGGGGGGGGGAGGACTATTTTTGAAACATTTGTGTGGGTGGGGACCCTGCTAGTTAAACACCTTGTTAAATGAGCAATGCTTGGCCATGAATTGCCTCCCGAAACGGCGATCGGTTAGCCTGCTCAGCATCCCGTCAGGGCTTCTCCGGCTGATGCAAAACAGCTGACGGAAGCGCTGGGTTTGAGTCTGTAAAGGCAGTCCTCCGTATTACGACCACCCTTGAGTTTCTGCCGCTAAGCGACACACTTGTCCAGAAGTGAGCTTTGCCACATTTTACGAACTTTCCGCCTCCCCCCGTCGTTAAGTGAACCGCTGCTGTTGTTAAGTTAGTCACACTGTGGTGACGTGAATCCCACTTCCCCCCCCCCCCGTGTCTGTCAGAAGGTCGTAAAACAGGATCGCGTGACCCCGGCGAGCACTAAGACCGTCCTAACTATGAGACAGTTTCCAAACATCTGAATTTTGAACAAGGGACTATGGGGAGGGTGCTCCAATGGTCGCATGAAAACTGCCATAAGTCACATTTTTCCAGTGCCGTTGTAAATTTGAACAGTCACTATATGAACTGTTGTAATGAGAGGACTACCTGTACTTGGAAAGAGAGCACAGGGGGCTGGTGAGAAGGAGGAGGAGGAAGAGGAGGAGGAGGAGGAAGCGGAGGGACCCCAGTGCCAAATGGAGAGCGAGGGGCTGGCTGGATCCTATCAAGGCCCAGGCCGCCGCCAGCGAAATGCACCCAAGGAGCCCGTCATCCAAAATTACCCCCAGGTAGGCAATCACTGGATGAGGCATGGCCACTTTAGCATCTCTCATGCCCACATGTCCAGCAGAATCAAGGAAGACATGGTTTTCTTTCTCTTTGACGTGATAGCTCTCAAAAAAATACAATGAAATGTGGGTGGAATGGAAGGAGAATGAGAAGAGAATAAGAAGAAAAGAGAGTAAGAATAGAATATAATGGAGATAATAGAAAAGAATAGACTAGAGAATGGAATAGAGAGGAGAGGAGATAATGGAATGGAATGGAATAGAGAGGGGAGGATAGAATAGAATAAAATAGAATAGAATGGAATAGAATGGAGAGAATAGAATAGAATGGAATGGAATGGAGAGAATAGAATACAATACAACACAACACAATACAATACAATACAATAGAGAGGGGAGGGGAGGATAGAATAGAATAGAATGGAGAGGAGAGGAGGGGATAGAATGGAATGGAGAGAATAGAATAGAAAATAGAATAGAAAATAGAATAGAAAATAGAATAGAAAATAGAATAGAAAATAGAATAGAAAATAGAATAGAAAATAGAATAGAAAATAGAATAGAAAATAGAATAGAATAGAAAATAGAATAGAATAGAAAATAGAATAGAATAGAATAGAGAGGAGAGGGGAGGAGATAATAGAATAGAAAATAGAATAGAATAGAATAGAATGGAAAGGAGAGGAGAGGAGAGGATAGAATGGAATAGAATAAAGAGGAGAGAATAGAATAGGAATATAACTGGAAGGAACGTTGGAGGTCTTCTAGTCCAGCCCCCTGTTCAAGCAGGAGAGCCTATACAATCTCAGACAAATGACTGTCCTGTCAGTCTCTTCTTAATAACCTCCAGTGATGGAGCACCCACGATTTCTGGTGGCAAGCTGTTCCACTGGTTTAATTGTCCGCACTGTTAGGAAGTTTCTCCTTAATTCCAGGTTGCTTCTCTCCTTGATCAGTTTCCAACCGTTACTTCTTGTCCTGCCCCCTGGTGCTTTGGAGAATAATTTGACACCCCCCCCCCTCTTCTTTATGGCAGCCCCTGAAAAACCTGCGGTCGTGTTGCCCCTAATTCTTCTTTTCTTTAGAAAAGGAAACGTACGACTGTCCACTTGAGGTAGCCAAGGAGATGTTCCCGTCCCAAGAATCTACCACCTGCAGAGAGGCACACCTGACCGACAGCAGGAAAGCCTGGCCAAGTGTCTCTGTCTCTGTCTCTCTCTGTCTCTCTCTGTGTCTCTGTCTCTGTCTCTCTCTCTCTCTCTCACACACACACACACACCAATTTCCTATTTTTAAATTTTTATTCCTGTTATTTGCCTGGCGTGCTCCTGGCTCCCCAGATTCCTTTGCCACCGCTCCCCAACCGGCATCCCTGAATGGGCAGAGCCCAGGGCCCCGAGATTCAACTCCTCCAAAGCATTCCCACCCTCCACCCACCCACCCACCCCCCAGTGTTTTCGCCCTCCCAAACTGTTCCCGAGCGAGCAAGCGAGCAAGCGGCAGTCAGCTGAAAGGTCCAGATTGACTCTCCGTTTCTTCTCCAGCACGAACCAGCTGCTCGGCTCTCCACCGCCAACCGAGAACGATCCCCTGCTCTGCGTCTCCGGGGAGGTCTCGGTGCTCCTCCAGAAGGGGAAGGGGAGAGGCACTCGCCACCGTTGCCAGCCGAGCAAGGCAGGCAGGGGAGGCTCACGGCTGCTGCTTCGCTTTCCTCCTCGTTTGTTAATCTCCTCTAAAGAGAACCTGACACGCTACAGGTAGGAGATGGGGAAGGGCTGCCAGCCGCCCAGGATGAGGGTCAGGGCAGCTGATGGGGATACCCCAACGACTGGAGAGAGGGGGGACCTCCAGATTCCTAGCAAGGAAGAGTGAAAGCGCGAGAGAGGGAGCGAGAGAGAGAAAAGAAAGAGAAAGAGAGAGAGAGAGAGAGAAAGCACTCAGCCCGACGTCTCAGCCCAGCGTCCGGTCCTCCCTATGCCAAGGGCGCCACTCCCCCCCATGGACGGGCAGCCAGGCAGCCTCAACGCCAGCCTGATCGGGCAGGACGCTGGGCTGCGTGGCAGTGCCTGGACGGCCGCCTTCCTCTGCTTCGTCATCCTGCTGACCATGGTCGGCAACTTGGCCCTCATCCTCCTCATCTTCAGCCAGCGCTTCCTGCGCAACACCTCCAACTTCTTCCTGGTGTCTCTCTTCCTCTCCGACCTGATGGTGGGCCTGGTGGTCATGCCCCCGGCCATGCTGAACCAGCTCTACGGGCGCTGGGTCCTGGACGGCGCCTTCTGCTCCGTCTGGTTCTCCTTCGACGTCATGTGCACCAGCGCCTCCATCCTCAACCTGTGCGTCATCAGCCTGGACCGCTACCTGCTCATCATCTCCCCGCTCAAGTACAAGCTGCGAATGACTTCCAGCCGGGCCTTCTGGCTCATCCTGGCCACCTGGACGCTGGCGGCCTTGGTGTCTTTCCTGCCCATCAAAATGGGCTGGCACAAGATGGACTTTGACCGCCACCCGCTCAATGCCACCCTGCAGCTGGAAGAGGAGCAGTGCCGTCTGCTGGTCAGCTTGCCTTATGCCCTCATCGCGTCCGGCCTGACCTTCTTCCTCCCCTCGGTGGCCATCTTGTTCACCTACTGCCGGATCCTGCTGGCCGCCCGGAAACAGGCCCTCCAGGTGGCATCTCTTACCAACAACAAGCCCCTCGGCGAACAAACACAACAGGTAAATTCCCAGGGGGGGAAATGGGCTGGTTTAATGACCGTTGTCCTGGGGGGGGTTAACACACTCCAGAGGGATGAATTAACTCTGCGCATGCTCAGAGAGACAGTGGTAGTTCCCAAATCTTCCTTCCCTTGCTAGGCATGGGTACCGTTAGCACTGCAGAGGCCACGGAAAATTAGATTGAACTCCAGGCCCGTGTCTGTCTCTCTGCCTCCAAAAGAGTTTTCATCCTGCTACCCAAAGGGTTTCTGTTCCCCACAAATTTTCAAATTTCTTTAATGGTGTATTTTGGATTGGGGAGAGCAAGCTGCTCCAGGGGCAGGTTGTAAACCAACGGAACTGCGAGATGGCAAAGTCTTGACTAAATGAGCATTTAAACAAGGTTTGCTCCTCGTTTTAAGGAAAAGAGAGAGCTGAAAGCAGTTTGTCATGCACTGAATTGAAAGAGAACTGGGCGAAGAAGAAGAAAGGAGGAGGAGGAGGAAATGAAAAATGGAATTTTCGTGCAACTTTTAACAAGGGTTGCAAACAAAACTCTTCTTAAGAGATGGGGGGGGGGGTTGTATTAATTTGGAAGCCACTGCTTTCGTCCCAAGTTCAACAGCTTGCGCATCCAATTTCTACTGCACCCGTGGAAAGCCACTGGACTCCGCGTGAGTCCGCGTTCTGGGAATGAGTCTCACCTTCTAATTAAGCCCCGCTATTAGTGCAATGCAATGCATCAGAGAGTGGGATACCCCCTGTGTGACTCCCTCCTGCTTCGTGTTGAGACTCTGGAAAGAGCAGAGAAAAGCAACAAGGATGATTAGGACAGTGTTTTTCAACCACTGTGCCGCGGCACACTAGTGTGCCG